GGTGGGGTCGGCTGGAGAGGGGGCGTGAAGGCAGAGACGCGAGCACGAGGAATTGATGAGAGGTGCTCGCTCTCTAGCTTCACCGTGACTCGACGCGACGACGGCAGGAAACAGAGGGAGAAAGAGGGAAAGAGAGAAACGGCACGACAGGTGGGCTCGGCTCGTCCACGCCTTGGCGGGATGCGAGCGGCGGGATCGGGAGGCCCATGTTCCGGCGCTAACCGACGAGCGTGCGCACCCGACCGGCGTGGCCCGCATGGCCGCAGTGCCATAAATGTCATGGCGACGGTGGCTCGCCCACATGCGTGTGGCAGAGGCAACAAGCACAGGGCCGGCAACAACGTAGAGGTGCAGCGGACTGGCGCGGATGCGACGACGATGCAACAACAGCTGCAGTGTCGTGACGCGAGAAGCGTCGGTTGTGCGGACGCGACGGCAGCGCAGTGCGGCCACGACGGCACCCATGGCGGCAGGGCGCGGGGCCAATGGCTCGCTGCGGCCGGCCTCGGCCAAGCACGGTGGCATGGCTGACCGCGCAGGACGCGGCCATGTGCTCGACGTGAGAAGACCGCGCGGTGACCGTGCACCCGGCGCCAACCAACCCGAGATAGTGACACGCACAAAATTTAAAGCGTTCAACACGACCAAACGATTGCTTTAGGACTAAACCATCTTCACTATGCTCAAGATGGCACATGAAACTACCAAATCAAGCTATAACACTACACCACCCTTTAACCCAATCTCTCACAATAAATTGCTAAACATAGCAGTGTCTAACTGTTGGTAGAATTGAAAAATTCTAAGTTTTTGAGCTGAATTTGATTTCCATTTACGATTTCTAAGCTAGTGGAAATATTAGCTAGTAATATCATTTTTCGACCGTAAGTATTTCACTATCATCTACAAAGTTTGTACTTCTAACTTTATTAAGGTGACACATATATGTTCTATAGCATTTTTGCTTAATAAAAATTGGTTTTAAACCCTAAGTGATATAACATGACTATCGAATCAACTTTCGTTTCGTATTTTAGTTGATCGTTTCGAGTTACAGAAATTGATCTACACACTTTATCACATGCATTAACACATAAACATGATGCTCGTGACATGTTTTAGTAAATGATTTATGGTGCAACACCGAGGGTGTTACACCAGCGGTGACGGCCAGTACGGCGACTCATCATCCAAATACGGTCCGACAACATATATGTATGATCCTACCCACTGCGGGATGGGATCCACGACGGAGGCCTTGACTTAGAGGCCATCCAAGTGGACGAGTGCCATGACCCCGGAGCCTAGGATCGTGGCCACCAACTCAACAAGACTAACCAGGTGATCGACGACCTGGGGGCGGCTACCAACTCCGATACGACGCCCCCAGGAGAACAGGAGGCAATGACGAAGGCCATAACAGAGATCACGTCGCACAGGACGGTTGGCGAACCACCACCGTACCTATAGTGCTACCACGGCCGGCACAGTAGCACCACGCCACGCCTTACCACAACGTGGGCACAAGACCATGACGACAACCACGCCTAGACGTCATAGCTTACAAGCCAAGTTAGATAGGCCTCTCCCTCAGGCTCATGACCCCTCGGTCGGGAGAACCTCCTTCTTTGTACATGCTCTGGCCCCGAACTCTATATAAAGGCAGCCAGGGCATCCTTCCCAAAGGATCTTCATTCCGAATGATTCTTCACAACCTCTGGACTCCTGAAGATTCCCTTTAGGCAATTCATCTTCTAGCTCTAACTCTCCTACCTCTTCCACCATTTTTGCACCTCTATTGTAAGAACCTCAGAGCATTCAAGCGAGGAACACACACTCGATCATCTCTGAAACTGGACGTAGGGCTCTGGCCTGAACCAGTATAAATTCTCATGTCTTTTGGATGCTATCATCGTCTTTCTAAAGCAGCGCGGCAATCGTATAAATTTACTAGTCTAGTTTACAAAACACCAACAACCTACTTTAATATGTATCGACATCAAGCGTGACTCCATTTGGAAATCAATTGTTCTATGCTTGCAATGTGATTAGAATCAAACCTTGTGATGTTTTATATGATATGAGCTGCGATTTGAATGTATGAAATTAAATTTGAGAAATTGTGTATAGTCCAATTTCCGTGTCATCCAATTCTGATGGCTGCCCTAATAGGGGAATTCATTTCCTTGACTGTGGAAATATATTTTCCTATTTTCCTATTGTCTTCATTCGATAGGGATAGAATTTCAGACTTGACATCCAAGAATTTCCTATTGATGAAGACCCGATAGGGAAATGGTGCACCAACAGGGAAATTAAAAGATTGACAGACAATTTTTCCATCCTTATCGTTTTTGTTCTGTAGATATACCGACAAGGAAATTACTTTTTCAGTTTTCCTATCGTTAATTTGAATTTTTCTGTCGGTCAAGGCATGGTATGGATTTGTTGAGTTTGGATTAGCTATGCAGGGCGCTGTGCATGTTGGCTACATAAATGTCCCATATTAAAGTCCCCTAGTAAATATGGCCTTGCGTTGCTACGGGTGAATAATACATTTTAAAACTCATTTTTCTTATCTCTCGTTCTTTGTTTCCAACAGAGAAGTTATTGCATCAGCGTAGAATAGGTAATGTTCAACAATAAATACGCAATACATTATGTTAGAAATTGATAATTCACTTGTCAATACATATATGAATTATGACTGTTTGAACTATATATGAATATGGATTATGACAGATTTTTCACTTTCTCATATATATTTTTTAAAACACTTAAAATATCAGGTCCAAAGTAAAGCCGGGACAGCAAGTGTGACTTCATTCAAAGAAGCCGTGCCATGCAGTAGCAAAATTTTATGCCTGGCATTATGGCGGGGGATTTTTGCTGCTGGCAATGCAAGAAAAACAAGAGATCTGCCAAGTATCTGCTATAGCAACAAGAATGCGGCATCAAAACTGAAAACAATCTTTAGTCATCATTAACTTCCATTGCAGCTGTTCTAGCTGCCCAGTTTTTTTATAAACAAAGACAGCCTTAGCATAAGTATCTGCTATTCTATTAAGGGACATTCCAGGATTTCCTGTACAAGTAAAAAAAGAATACAATCTGAGTCAAAATAAAGATTTTGCAAGACTATGTGACTATATTTAGCCAAGCACTGACTACAGAGCAAGTGCTCATCCAGTTCAGTGCCAGTTCATCTCTCATTTTTTCGCCTTGGAGAAATGGAGACACCTGTACTTCTCGCCACTGACGGTGATCTCAAGGGCTCCGTCTTGGTTGTGTTGGCTGGAGGATGTTCTCATGAGGGCGCTCTTTTCCTTCTCCAAATAATCATTTTCCATCTTCAACCTGGCTTCTTGCTGTCCCTAATTACATAATGAGTTAATGGTGATGAATTGGAGACATGATTGACTTTCATCCATCAGGAAGATCCTTGCTCTAAGCCTCTAATACATTTCAAGAAAACTGAACTGGCACAAGCTTCAATTAATTTTGCTTCTAATTAGGCAAAAGAGACACAGCTTTACAGTTCTCGCTTCAATACAGGGCATAACACTGATGTTAATGATGATGATTCAGAATCAAGTGACTAAGCACTTCCTTTATCCATAAAATACCTTGTTACAGTTTGCATGATTAAGCCATTCCCATATCATGCACTTGAAATTAATCCTTCCGTATAATCAGAGTTATTGATTCAACATATTAGCACTTGTACATAACACAGCATGAGTCAAGACTATGAATTGCTGGCCAGACCAACAGACTGACTACTGCAACAATAGGTACTAAATAGGAAATATGCCCATGCGTTGTACCGGGAAAAGAAACATAGGACATTTGTGCAACAATTAAGATGTGGACAGCTGATGGAATAGAGGCAAATGAGGCTCTTGGCAGTGTGTCCGCCTTGCGCTGCTTGCCATGAGGCGATCCCTAAACAGAGAAGCAAGGCGGAGCACAACCATTGGAATAGCAAGTTCAGGCATGTGGCAATCCCATCCTCCAGTGTGACTCGTGAGCCTACTATAGAAGTATAGAACCATAAAAACACAATTAATCAAATTGGCAACTTTCAGCTAATATAATGGATTCTTAGCACCTAACTGATAGTTAGATGAATTATTAGGTCAGGCAAAGAAAAATTCCATAGGGCCACAGCCGTGATCGTGAAGCTAATCAAAAGCATCACCAAACATGGAGTCATAGACAAGTCTTCTCTATGCATAAAGATATATTCGTCAGGAGCAGCTTTACCTATGCAGATGTGCCTGTTGCTGCATATAAGCTGGGATGCATTGGTGCTGGACTAAGAAACACATCCGACAAGCAAAAGACGATAAACATTCAAATTCACACAGATATTAAGCTAAGGATAACATGTGCTCAGGGGAGCATCCTTTCAAGCAATAAATATTCAGAGATGATGCAAGGATCAGAACTATACCTTTTCTCTGTACATGTTCTTTAGTTGAGTGGCTTCCTCATCCATCGGCTCATCAAGTTTCTGATTCAGTTCACATCCACACGACTATTTAACCCTCTCACTGCAATACTGACAACCAGTTCGGTCTGCACAAACAACACTCCTTTGGTGAAAAAACAAGAAAACAGATACAAATTCGTTCGCGAATCACTCATAAGCATTACTATTATCGGTATTTTAGAAAATTTCGTTGTTCATGGAATCAGTTCGACATATGTGTGTAATCAGGCACACTTTCAGGCTTCAATTTAAAAGAAGGGGAAGAAATAGCATGATGAACAAGATTGGAGTAACAGCAGTAAGAAACAGACCTTGGCTGTTTTGTCAGGCGATATCAGGAGCGTTGGTCATGTCCGACGAGATCATGACAGGAGTGCACGATTGCAACTTCAACGAAGATTAATGTGTATTTTTTTCCAGGAAAAATCCTCCATCCTCCTGCTAACATAAATAGAAAAAAAAGGAGTTCGTGTCGGAACAACCAAGCTTTCGTTTGATTCGATTCCTACTTTCTTGAACTCCGACGGCCATCAACAAGAACTCCGGCGAGCTCCGACAAGGCCAGACCATGTGGGCTGGCAGCGGCGCGAGAGCCGCCCGCACGTCGACGATCTTCACTCCGGCGTCCATGCCAGCGTCGGACGCGAAGCGCTGCACGGCCGCGGAGGAGGAACGCAGCGGAGTCGTGCGCGACGACGGCGGCCTCGGGTGCGGCGTACGCGCGCTCGTCGCCGGATCCGCCCACACGCGTGCTCCTAGCCGCGCGGCGCCGCCGGAGGAGGTGCGGCCTCCGAGCCGCGCAAGGATGCCGGAGGATGAGCCCGAACCCTAACTTCGTGGCTGCGGGGGTGAGACGCGCGGCTGCGGGCGTGAGAGAGAGAGACGCCGGCGGCCTCGGGCGCGGCATAGTACGCCACTCGCCGCGATTTTACGGAAAGAGGAACGACGGGACGGGAGTAGGAGGAGAGGAGCGTGGGGGCTATAGATTGGGCCGCGAATGGGCCGAAAGCCAGCGAGTGGCAGGACGGTTGGGCCTGATTTGAATGGGCTGGACGAAAAATCAACCCTGAAATTTTGCCTTTTTATTATTAGGTATAGATTTGTCCCATGCGTTGTCATTGTTTTTTCCTTTCCTATAGATAGCCTCCTAGGGCTACGGCTACCTGCTTGTATCTTTCTTAAGTTTCTTCTATATCATTAGAAACATATACTGTCAACATTGTTTCTCTAAAAATCATTTTAAATGATAGTTGAATGCATGTAACTCATTTTGCACTATGCTTGAATGCAACTAAATAATAAATAGTATAAATTGTTTATTTGAGCTAAATTTTACATTACGCAGCCACAAGCATGATTTGTCATTTATTAAAGTCCATGATTTTTCATTTAGTGCCACGAATTATAGCTCGTGCTTCACCACACCAGCGCTCAACTAGGAACCATGATGGGCACAAGCATTATTTGCATGTGTCAATTGAGAAACATAGGATGATATAGATTTTTTGCCCATAGTAATGCATTTGATTTGCTAGGTCCTTGCACACTACTACAGTCGAAGTTTTATTCAGAAGATCATAAATTATTTTCTGAGACGGGCAGCCAGTCCGCTTCTGGTTTCATGCCTATGTAAATCCAGATTCTAGAAAAATGGCGAGCCAATGATGGGGCCTGCTGAGCCCATGCACAAGCCCCGCCAAGCCCATTTATGCTATGGGCATAGCTCGCTGGATCTGCTCGTGTGCCGCCAGATCAACGTGTTCGCCGCCGTCGGAGGGGGCCCCATGCGTGCGCCATCGTTGTAGGGTCATCACGCTCACTGGGTCTGGGTGGCCGCGAGCCCCCGTGCGCCGCTACAGGGCCACCAGCGCCGTGTTCGGCTAAGGCTGGCTGGGCTGGCCAGCCCCCTCATATGGACACTGTTCCAATGAACCAGCCAGCAGTACTTCTCTCTCACATAAACGAAACAGCAACGATACGAACCAGCCAACCGAACAGGCTGCAGGTGGGGCACCACCGAGACCCGAGAGGGGAGGAGCTGGGAAAGGGGCATCGACGGTTGGAGTTAGAAACGAGAGATAAGTGAGAGAATGACGGGCTCATATGGGCCGCATGGACTATATATTGTGGGCTCGGCTCCAATAACGAAGGCGGGCCTTATGAGAGGTCGCCTATAAAAATAAGGGCCATTTTTAGAGGCTCGTTAATGAATTTTATAAGATGGTCTTTTATTTGGTGTCTACTAAAATGATTTATTTATCTTCAGAAATAGCTACATATTTCACGAGGAGACACGCATCTGCCTTAAGAAATAGCCACATATTTCAAGAGATCTCACATAAACCTTGTGTGCGCCTCAGTTATATATATGCATGGACACTTTTACAACTACGCTCTTTAACGGCTCCGGGAATCCTAACTTTTTTTTTCCTTCCATTTTTTCTTTTTATTTTTTCCTTTGCTTTTCTTCTCCCGATTCCCCTCCTCTGCGCGCGCACAGCCAAGCGCGCGTACCTTCCTAGTGTAGTTGATCCGGCATATGATTCCGCATCGGTGCGTGCATGCATGTAGCACACGTAGATTTTTCTTTGGTGTGTGTGCCCAAACAACTGCATGCATCCGCGGAATTGACCTGCGTGACATGGCTGGCTGACGAGCCGATGCAGCTGTGCCGCAGTGATCGACTCCCCGTGTAACCGAGATCTAGAACTGGCAATCTGTGGTCGCCTGGTCGGTCGAAACTGGCCGGAAACGAAATCGGAACACCGTGCACTTTATATTTTGTATGTACATACTCCTAGCATACAACAAATCAACAACAACAACAACAACAATATATATATATATACATTCATGAAGCATGAAGCCGTACGGAGTGAGAGCGGTTTACGCCCGATGAGCGTATCCTAGCCCCCTGGGTTTGACTTTGACGTTTGACTCGCCCGAGTAGCACGGCGATTCGAGCCGCGAGAGGGGGCCGGCCGCCGGGCCACGTACACGAGTTGGCCCACAGACAGGGTCCAGCACCAGGCCCAGTTGCATACATGCATGTCGGCTGTTGGGGGGCGTCATGCGTTTGAGAAACTCGTCTACGATTTGGCTTTAACAAACGAATACGGAGTACACACGCTTCTGTGGGCATCAGACGATGTTTATCTATGCCTGAACTTAAGCCAGCTGATGATCGAAGACAACTAATCGTTTTCTGTACTGGGTTTACCGTAAAGCTTATGCTCAGCTCATTAACATGACGAAACCGATCGAGCACCGGATCGGATCTCACATTTTAGTATACACAAGTATATTCTCTCACACGGCTAGCTACCCTACGTAAGAAGCAGGAATGTCTTCCCCATGGATGTCAAAGGTTGGATGATCGGCTGAATTTGGTCTCCTTTAGTTGTGCCCATCAATTTGAATGGGAATAAGGATAGGTTTCTGTGGCGGTTGAGGAAAAATGGTGATTTTTCGACTCAATCTTATATAGGGAGATCATGAAGAATGAGACGTTTGGTGGGAAATAGATTTGCTCTAGAAGACAAAGCTCTCATTGAAAATAAAGATTTTCCTCTGGTATTTAAAAGAGGGGTCACACTTATAAAAGAATAACTTGTTAAAAAGGGGTGGAAAGAGGACGCTAGCTGTAGCTTTTGTGGTTTAAAGGAAACCGTGAAACATCTCTTTTTTTAGTGTCCTATGGCGAGATTCTTGTGAAATGCATTTTTCATCACTTTTAATCTTCAACCACCAAAAATAATATTCACACGTTTGGCTCGTGGCTTAGAAATTTTAGTCCAAGTTTCAGAAGCCAGATAATTGTGGGTTTGGCGGCGAGGTGTTGGGTTTTGTCGTTGAATAGAAAGGATACAATATTTGATAAGAAAAATTCTAACTCCTTGCAAGTAATTTTCAATAGAACTTACTAGATCAGACAATGGTCCCAGTTATCTAAAGAGGAGCAGAGAATGATGATAAAGAATGGACGCAGACGTTTGGAGGTTATGCCGGTAGAGGGGTTATGCCGGTAGAGGTGTTTGGAATAGCGGATTAGAAGCAACATAGAAGTTTGGAGATCTCATTGTCTTCGTTTCTTTATGTTATGTTTTATGTTGACTTTGTTGTGTGTGCGTTGGTCGTCTGGACCTTCTTCTGTACTAATCGGGTATCCATTCACTGGTGAATGTGGGTGGCCGAAATACTTTTATTCCTTAATTGAAAAAAGACTTTTACTATTTATCTGTTGATTTTTGTGGTACTAAATCTATCAGATTTCTACATCTTTGATTGTGATTTATGATTTATGCTACAACTGTCTACTAGATTGTATTTATAAAAATTAACAGATGACAACATGAAATCTATCCACAGATAACTAGACACTCCCTTGACAAAAAAGGACAGACCATGTTTTTCAACATTAAAAAGAAGAGCTCTCTGACGGGTGACGGCATCTGGAGCAACAATTAGCAATGGACTCTTAATTTCCTTTGGTTCTAATAATTGGAATCACTCGCAAAGCCGAAGGGAGCCATCAGCCCTCGTGTGGGTCGTGACGACGCCAGCAACAATTAATAGTCGTTTCTTGCGGACGGCTAGCTGCGAGCCTTTTTTTTAAGGAGAAATCTGCGGAAAATGATTGTACGTGGCAGGTGACGCTTCTTCCAGTCCAGTTCCAGCCGATTGCCCTGCATACCGCGCGACGTTGTTTCGCGCTCGCTGCTGCTTTCTCTGCACCGGTTTCATCATTCACGCTTGCGCTGTTCCCATTCCGCCACTCGACTCGAGTGGTCGAGTCCGATCCCCAAGGAGGGGGAACGCACGCCATATGTGAACTCGCAGAGTCGGTGGCCCGGTGGGCCTGGTCTTTAGTACGGCCGCTCAACCGCAGCCCATGGGACGGCCGTTTCGGCGTAAAAACGGGGATGAACCATCAGCCGTAACTGCTGGATCGTGATCTTGATTACCACGTGTTAAGGCCGCAAGAGAAATGTCGTGATCCAGACTTCTGTAGAGCTTCCGGTCGTTCAGCAACAAAGCACTGCAGCACGATGAACAAACGGTGCGACGCGACACATGTCACGTAGTACTCACATGTGCCATGTGAGCCAGAGCCAGCCAGGTCTGCCCAGTGCCCAGTTGCATCGCAGAGCGTCAGCGCCGCGCGGCTGCTGGTGGAAAGGAGTCAAACCTGAGTCCACCTTGCGCAGCAAACAAACACCCAAAACCGCGACGTGCGCCCCAAACCAAAACCACCGCCACCGCCACCGCCACCGCACACGCCTTTCCCTGTTTATTACGAGCAGCCCCTGGTTTTCGCCCGGCTTTTACGCGAAACGGCCCCGTGATTACACGAAAATCCCGTGCACGCCCCTCTGCGCCACCTCGGTATAAAACGACAGGTGGTGCCTCCTCCGCCAACCCACAGAACCAAACTAAACCTCAGAAAAACCCCAGGAAACCGCATTATATTCTCGCCCACCACTGTCCCTGCTCTGTTGCAACTCCACTCGGCCGCCTCTCCCACCCCACCTTGATCCTCTGATCCGTTGGTGCTCGATCGGTCCATGGACACCCAAATCGGATCCGTGAACGGATCGGCGGCGGCGGCGTCGAACCTCACGGTGGGCTGCCCGGCGTCGGCGCCGGGGTGCCCGATGGCGTCCACGCCGGCGCAGCCCGCGGCGACCCTGTCGGCGGGGGAGGCGTCGCTGGGGCGCCACCTCGCGCGCCGCCTCGTGCAGATCGGCGTCAACGACGTCTTCGCGGTCCCCGGGGACTTCAACCTCACGCTGCTCGACCACCTGATCGCCGAGCCCGGGCTGCGCCTCGTCGGCTGCTGCAACGAGCTCAACGCCGGGTACGCGGCCGACGGGTACGCGCGCGCGCGCGGCGTCGGGGCCTGCGCTG